CCAGAAGAGGTCACCAGACCTCATTACACATGATTGTGAGCCACCATGTGGTTGCTGGGAATTGAACTCAGGACCTTTGGAAGAGTAGGCAATGCTCTTAACCGCTGAGCCATCTCTCCTATTCGGTCTAATTTGGTCTGATTGGAATTGTTTGTGTCGGCAGAGAAGCTCGTCTTAAATATTCCTAAAAGCCACCACCACCTGGCATGGGCTTTTTTTTTTTTTTTTTAAGATACATTTTTAGGGGGCTGGAGAGATGGCTCAGTGGTTAAGAGCATTGTCTGCTCTTCCAAAGGTCCTGAGTTCAATTCCCGGCAACCACATGGTGGCTCACAACCATCTGTAATGAGGTCTGGTGTCTTCTTCTGGCCTGCAGACATACACACAGACAGAATACATTTTTATTTTTTTCATTATGTATATAGATGTGTTCCTGGGTGCATATTTTTCATCCTGTGTATGTATTGTACACGTGAGTGGAAATGCATTTAGGGTGCAGAAGAAAGTTCTCTCAACCCTGAGCCATTGTTTCTAGCCTCCCTGGATTTTCTTTTCTTTTTTTTATTAAAAACGGATTTCACACTATAGCACAGGTTGACCTTAAACTCTCCCAGCAATTCTTTGTGATTACAGATAAGAGTCATCATACCCAGATCTGAGTTAATAAATTGTATGGGACCTCTACATATTTATGGAAGTTGGAAGGATTCTTGGGAGTGTACAGCTTAATGTTTATATTTCTGGATGGTGGTGGTACTTGTGGTTGACCTCGTGGCTTGACCCTGTTAAGCAAATACTCCACCAATGTGATAACATCCTCAGCCTTCTTTCTTTTTAATGTAAGACCAATTTCTCTGCGTTGCCCCAGAACTCACCCAGGGAGCCTTGAATTTGTCGTTTCACTGCCCGAGGTCTGGGGCGCTCCATTATGGGCACACAGTCAGGTCATGAGAAAGTGTGACTTTCTACTTTGCCCAACAAAATGTTCTCAGTCTACAGAGAAAACAGATAGTGACGCTAAAGCCAAGAACACTCAGGAAGCTGGCTCGCGCTTATCTGGGACATTGGGTGTGTTTCTTTCGTGGAGCGTGGAGCGAAGGGGCTGTGTAGCAGACTGTCAGTCCTGAAGCGAAACTGCTGGGTAATGCTGAGCATTCCTGGATGGTTGGCCGCACGGTGGTGGTGCACGCCTTTAATCCCAACACTCGGGAGGCAGACACAGGTGGATCTCTGAGAGTTCGAGGCCAGCCTGGTCTACAGAACGAATTCTAGGGCATCCAAGGCTACACAGAAAACACTGTCTCAAAAAAACAAACAACAAACCCAAAAATGCCCTGGATAGTCTATTACCACATCTGTAAAATAGGCCGGTGAGCTGGACTGTAATTTTGAGGTTCTGAGTTTACCCACTGACCCAGTTTTAGGAGTTGTACCCAGAGTTTACATATTGGAAGAACATACTGTTTGCTGTAAGCAATTCGAATGAACGAGCCAAACTGAGAGTGGACGTCAAGGCGATGGAGACGACAAACTTCTCAACGCTTTGGGCAGCCCAAAAGCATGGAAAGGTCGGCAGGTCAAAGGTCTGGTTTCCGGTCAAGCCTATCGCACACCGGAAGTTCTTGTTCGGGTCCACCCCCCCCCCCCCAGCCTGGTTCTCCAACTGGAGATTGAAAAAGCCGAGGCGGAGCTTCAGCCAGGAGAAGGAGGAGCTTAAGGCCCCTCCCTCCCAATAGCAGCCGATGAGTCTTTCTAGCTCAGCCAATCCGTGCTACGAGGTGATCAAATTTAAAGCCCTCACTCCCACTTTCCCGAAGGCCGTGCCTGCAGAGAGGCGGGGAGAAGGGCGGGCCTTAGCCTCGAGTACCCCAATCACAGCGGCCAGCCCGCGAAAGGGCGGGAGGCCGCACCAATCAACACCCGCGGCCGCGCACTGGCGGAGCAGTTGGCTACAGTTCTCGCTACTTTTTTCGAAAGCTGGGTTTCCCGGGAGATTCCAGGTGGTGACAGAGTCGGGCCATGGCTAGAGGTATTTGCTAGGGTGGCCTGCGCTAGGGGTCGCCTGGCGGCAACCCGCACTGCAGAGAGCGCTCGGCGCAGGAGCGGCCGCTCGCAGCCATCCACCTATGGTGGAGCGCGGGGACCCCGAGGGACACGGGACCCTGCGTGCTCCCGGAGACCGTTCCCCCAGTCGGACTGCGCTGTCCCGGCCGGACGAGTGGGCGCCTGTGGTTCAGCCGGTCTCCCCAGAGCTGATGTATCCCTATGCCGAAGCTCTTTGGAAACTTGAGCGCAGCGCCCCTCTAGGGAACGGTTGTTATTGATGCCGCGAGCCTGGCTGACGGCTAAGGTGACCCAGAGGCAGGGCGCAGATTGCTGACTGGTATCTCACTCAGTGTGCTCTCCTGAGTCAGCTCTGCACCACAGGGTCAGGTTGGGTCCTAGAGGTCCATTTCGGGGTGAATCGGGTCCCCCTAGTGTTTGGCGGGGTAGCCCTTTACCCCTAAGCTGGGCAGTACTTCAGCCCACATGAGATGGCGTGGGTGGACTGGTGCGGTCCCGCGAAGCAGGCAAGTCCATCTTTGAGAATATAATTCTCTAGCAGGACAAAAGCAGCTGGTCATTTCTAGCCGCTCTGTCGCACACGAAAGAACCAAAAACTTGAGCGTTACTGGAGTGGTTTTTTTGTTGTTGTTTTCTAAGTTGGAGTATTGTGTTGTTATTGAAATGTCAAGACCTAACGTGTTAGTGGGAATTTCCCTTAATGCAATGTGCTCTGTATAGCAATAATCAGATTAAGTGTCCACTCACTAAGGGAATATTTAGTGGTCCCCTTTGCATGCTCTGAACCCTATTGCATCATTTATTCTCCCAGCAGTCTTCTATGGTCTTTGGGGACAAGGCTTCCTAACCAGAAATGAGGCATAGTGAACCACGTTAAAGTGTTTCATAACCCACTTAGCAGAGAAAATTAACACTAGTTTCCTCCTTCTCCCTTCCTCCCCTAGCTTAACGCCAGCACCTTTTAGTGTTCTTACTTTGAGACAGAGTCACAGTATGTAGCCCTGACTGAAATGGAACTTGTTATATAGACCAAGTTGGCATCCAACTTGCAGCAATCCTCCTGCCTTTGTCTCTCAAGTTCTGGGATTACAGGTATACACCACCATGCCCAGTTGCTTATTTTTTTTTTAATTTATTTTATTCAATGTACATTGGCGTGAGGGTGTCAGATCCCCAGGAACCTGGAGACAGTTGTGAACTGCCATGTGGGTGCTGGGAATCGAACTCAGGAAGAACAGTCAGTGCTCTTAACCGCTGGGACAACTTCTCCAGCTCATCCGTGTCCAGTTTCACACTATATTATTCTTGGGAAGAAAATAAGCATCTAAAAGCATATTTAAATTGTCTGACTAACTTAGTTATGATTCCCTATTTCACACTTTTTCTATTACCATGAAACTTTTTTTTTTAAACTTTTAAGACTATTATTTTTCTTTCATGTGTATGGGTGTTTTGTCTGCATGTGTGTCTGTGCACCACGTGTGCCTGGTGAACACAGGCCAGGATAGGGTGTCATATGAAACTGGAGCTACAGAAGGTAGTGAACAGACATGTGGGTGCTGGGCATCAAACCTGAGTCCTCTGGGAGGGCAGCCAGTGCTCTTAACCAGTGAGATGTCTCTCTACACTATCACAGAAAACCATTCTGATCTCCAAGGGCACAGTACACAGTAAAAAAGTAGTGTGTGAGTGCCAGTAAAACTTGACTTGATTGAGCTGAGTATAGGTGGCAAAAGTCTTTAATTCCAGCCGTTCAGAGGCAGAGGCAAGTGGATTTCTGAGTTTGAGGCCAGCCTGGTCAATAAAGCAAGTTCCAAGACTTCTAGGGCTAAAGAAAAAAACCCTGTCTCAAAAAACTAAAACGACAACAATAGAAACCACGGTTTAGTTAAATTATAGAGGGAAAACTATTGTGAAATATGGGAATAAAGCGACCACAGAGAAACCCTGTCTTTTTTTTTTTTTTTTTTTTTTGGTTTTTCAAGACAGGGTTTCTCAGCAGCTTTGAAGCCTGTCCTGCTGGAACTAGCTCTTGTAGACCAGGCCAGCCTCACAGAGATCCACCTGTTTCTGCCTCCTGAGTGCTAAGATTAAAGGCGTGTGCTACCACCGCCCGGCGAGAAACCCTGTCTTGAAAAACCAGAAGAAAAAGACATATGGGATTAATTATTATTGAAATCCAAACCTTTTATTTTCTCAGTTAATCTGTATAATTATTTCACTAGTTCTTCAGAGGTCAGAGGTGAAGTATAAAGTCACCGACTTTTGCCATGCTGGGTTTTTGTTCTGCTGTTGCCTCCCTTTCTTAGCCAAAGCTAAGGGGCAAAGTTGTCCAACTTCTGCCCAGTAAGGTTTATGACCCTCATCAGTAGCTATGAGCTCCTTGACTTAATGACTCGTGTGTGTGCGTGTGTGCATGTGTGCGTGATTGATTGGATCCTAGGGCCTCATACTTGCTATGCAAGCACTCTTCCACTGTCTTATCCTTTCCCCCACCTTTTTTATTTATTCATTTTTTTGAGACAGGGTCTTGCCGTATAGCCCAGGCTGGCCTGGAACTCACTATGCAAACCAGGCCGGCCTCAAACTAACAGAGATCTGCCTGCCTCTGTCTCCGGAGTGCTGGAATAAGAATGTGTACCTACTGTACCTAGCCCAAACCTATTTTTGGTTTTGATTTTAGACAGTGACTCACTATCTGAGTCTGGCTGGCCTCAGACTGGCCTAGAATTCAGGCAATCCTCCTGCCTCAGTTTCTCAAGTATCTGGGTGGTAGTTGGGGCACTGCTTGGCCTGGTGAATCGGCATTACTCTGGTAAATTATTGGATTAGACATTAAGAGTTATAGATACCACATCCTTTAGGGTACGTCTAAGGCAAAGACCAGACCTTTCTCCTGGAAGTCACTTTCTTCCACTTCCATGATCTCCGCACAATTCACATCCTCACCTCTCAGCAGCTAAACAATACACATTTTTTTTGTTTTGTTTTGTTTTTCGAGACAGGGTTTCTCTGTGGTTTTTGGAGCCTGTCCTGGCATTAGCTCTTGTAGACCAGGCTGGTCTCGAACTCACAGAGATCCGCCTGCCTCTGCCTCCCAAGTGCTGGGATTAAAGGCGTGTGCCACCACCGCCCGGCTACACATTTTTTTTTCAAGGCAGGGTTTCCCTGTGTACTTTTGGCTGTCCTGGAACTCAGTTTGTAGACTAGGCTAGCCTTGAACTCACAGAGATTCCCCTGCCTCCGCCCCCCATCCCGAGTTTGGGATTAAAGGCATTTGTGGCCACACCTGGCAAGAATACAAATTTTTTTATCACATGACTTTTACTCCCCCTATTGTCCTGTTGCTCCTGGGAGTAACTCCATAATAGTCACTATGGTCTACAAGGCCCCTTCACACAGCCCCCACCCCGACCTCATGGCCCTCCAGCTGTCTATATGATTACGGCTGTGTATACATGGGCTGAACAAAGTCGGTATTCAGTAGATGTTCAGTAGATGGATTTTTATGCTGACATTTGAATTCAAGAGAAGCAGTACCATTCTTTATGGTAAAATGTAATTACATAGCAGAAGTGGGCTCTGGTCCCATTTTGTCCTTGTCATAGGCAAGTCAGTTATCTGCTCTGAGCCTGTTTGAATAGGTGTAAAAGAGGAGTAATAGTGTAATAGTAATCAGAAGATTTTTTTTTTTTTTTTGGTTTTTCGAGACAGGGTTTCTCTGTGGCTTTGGAGCCTGTCCTGGAACTAGCTCTGTAGACCAGGCTGGTCTCGAACTCACAGAGATCCGCCTGCCTCTGCCTCCCGAGTGCTGGGATTAAAGGCGTGCGCCACCACCGCCCGGCCAGAAGATTTTTTTTAAAGAATTTTTTTTTTGTGTGTAGCTTGCCTGCGTGTATGCCTGTGTGAAGGTGTCGGTCCCCTGGAACTGGAGCTACAGACAGTTGTGAGCTGCCATGTGTGTGCCGGGAATTGAACCCAGGTCCTCTGGAAGAGCAGAAAGTGCTCTTGACCTCTGAGCCATCTCTCCAGCCCCTTAAAGAATAATTTATTTAACTTTGTTTTATGTGCATTGGTGTGAAGGTATAAGATCCCCTGGAACTGGAGTTACAGATAGTTGTGAGCTACCATGTGGGTGCTGGGAATTGAACCCCAGTCCTCTGGAAGAACAGCCAGTGCTCTTAACCACGGAGCCATCTCTCCAGCCCATAATCAGAAGTTTTAATTGAGTGATGTCATATTAAAGGTCCTAACACACTGCGAACAGTCAAACTGTGTTAGCTCTTGATGATATTGTTGTCAGGTTATAGTTCTCAAAGATTCTAGGCAACAGCAGAGCTTGTATTTCTGTCTGGTTGTTTTAAACAGTGGTTGATTTGATAGCCCTGAGAGGCTTCAGACTTGCAAACCCTGCCTCAGCTTTCCAGGTGGAGACTGGAGGCTTGATCCTCCGTATCTAGTTCAAATGGGTTCATGCTGTTTGTTTGTTGTTATTATTTGTAGAACTTTGGGTTTAACCTAGGGTTTTTTGTGTGCTAGGAACGCCCTATCCTTAGCTCTGTTTGCTGATAGGATATTTGTTATATACAGGTGCAGGGAAAGGGCGGCCTCTATACCAAATAATTTTCATAGCTGTCCATGCCCAGCTTCTGAGGGCTGACATGCAGCAAGAGCATGGGGGATGGAGTTAAAGCAGCAACTGAGCTGGAAGGGTTGACATACTCCGAATTATAGACCTTGTGAGACCTCAGATGGGGAGGCACTTCCGTGTGGTGTAACCTGGGTGTCTGAGAGTCACTTTGGAATCTTTTCTACTTCCGGATAGTTTCCAGCATTCTTTTTTTTTTTTTTTTTTTTGGTTTTTCGAGACAGGGTTTCTCTGTTGCTTTGGAGCCTGTCCTGGAACTAGCTCTTGTAGACCAGGCGGGTCTCGAACTCACAGAGAGATCCGCCTGCCTCTGCCTCCCAAGTGCTGGGATTAAAGGCGTGCGCCACCACCGCCCGGCAGTTTCCAGCATTCTAGTGTGGTAGGCTGGACAGAGGGATGGGAGTTAGAGGGTGATTAATTAAAGCAAGCTGATACGGTGTATGTTCTGAGAATGACTTGTCCTGTAATCCTTCTCAGTATTAGGCCTTTTAATAGGAGGTAACGTGAGGAGGTGGCCCCGAACAGCCCGTTTATTGTAGACTTTGGAAGATCCCTCCTGGGTTTAGTTACCAAGACATAGAAGGCCAGACTTGGAAAGTCACTTAGCAGTTGTTGTAATGCTCTAGTAAGGCAGGAGCTGGGTACCTTCAAGTGTCTTGTTTGCCTCTGACTTTGCACAAATACAGCGAATCTTTGGCTGTGAGCCCGCGTGCCCTAACACAGGCACAGCGCAAGACAGTTAGCTAAGCTTACAGTCACCAGAGTGCCTGGAACTCTGCCTGCCTGGGCATTTTTCTTACAGGGAGGGCCACAGGAACACAAGGTGAGTGACCTACTAAAACTTCTCTTATTCCGTGGTTTCTGTAACGATCAATCGTGGCTACCAGTGCTGTCTCTCGGATCCGTTGAACAAGGCTGGAAACTGGGTTGAAAGAAATTGGCCAGGTCCCTCGCTTCTCTGAGCCTCAGTTTCCCCATCTTTAGGAAAAGATATAATAACGGTGTTCTTCCACGGGTTGTTCTGAGGAATGAACAAGATATGGCAGAAGCAGCACCCCAGCAAACTTATCAAGGCCAGGCAGGGCTCTCGGGCTCCTCTGGGTCTCCTACCGGCTACAGTCAGACGCCAGTTAGGACGAAGGCCCCGTCACTTCCTGGTTCTGTCCCTCCACCCCCGCCCGATACTGCCCACCTAACACCGGGATGCCCACAGGGTGGACGCCCGGGCTCGCGTGAGCATCCCACGCATGCCGACGCGGCCCAGCGGCAGGACCGGGGAGCCGTGCAGTCTCGGCGCCGAGTGGCCGGGGGCGCGCGCGCGAGGGGCCGCGCCAAGCCGGGATTGGCCGCCGCGCGCCCTCGCGCCCGCCCCGCAGGCGCCTGGCAGCGCCGCCCCTGCCCGCGCCGTCCCCGGCCTCGCTCCGGGCCCCGGCTGCGGCGCGCGCGGGCGCCCGGCCTGCTGCGGGCCATGGGCGAAGCGGGCGCCGTGGGGCGCCGCCGGCCCTTCCCCGGGGCGCCGCGGCGGCGCTGGTGGCGGCGGCAGCAGCAGCAGCAGCGGCGGCGGCAGCGCTGGTGGCCGGGCCGCGGCGAGGGCGAGGGCGCCGGCCGCGCCGCCATGGGCCTAGCTGGGCTGCAGGTGGGTGTGTCGGGCCGGGGCGCGCCGGGTGGGGCGGGCGCAGGGGGCCCCTGCCGGGCCGGGTGGGAGGGCGCCGCGGCGAGGGCCCCGGGACGGCGCAGCCGGGTCCCCTGCGTGCGGGCTTGGAGACATGGCTGCGGCGGTCCCCGCGGTCCCGCTGCCCGCGCCGCCGCGCCCTGAGCGCCCCTCCCCCGCTTCCCCCGGGTCCCCCCTCTCCAGGCAGGAAGATGTGCAAGCCCCGCGCGGTGGAGGCGGCGGCGGCGGCAGCGGCGGTGGCGGCGGCAACGGCCCCGGGCCCGGAGATGGTGGAGCAGAGGGGCCCGGGGAGGCCCCGCAGCGACGGGGTAAGCAGGCTCCCTCCCCGCACTGAGCAGCACGCCAACCGGGCCCGGGCCTCGCGCACGTGGGCGCAGCGGGGGGGTGCCCCCATCGGCGCCCGAAAGTGGGACCGGCGTGGGGCAGCTTCCTTATCTGCTGCCTGGTCCAAGAGTAGCGCCCCGCTCCACCGTGACCCTGGCAAGTGGCCGACCTCGTAAAGTTTGTGGCCTTGTGGCGTTTTCAGTCCCTCCCGAGACCTAGGGTCCGGGGAGGTGGCTGCCTTCCCAAGGGCGTAGGGGACCTGCTTGCGTCCCTTAAGAGTGACCAGAGTGTCTGATGTGTTTAGTAGCTTAGCAGGCAGCCAGGCCCTGCATTGTTTCTGGGAGAGCCCTCCTCCTGTGTGGTCACTCCGAGGAGAGGCTCCATACCCAAAGACACCAACGCAGAAGTGACCTGTACCGATCCCCCCCACCCCCCAGCCGGCCGGTGTTAGCAGCCAAGGTGCGGTTTGCAGTGGAGTGACCGCCCTAAATGCGCTGGCCCACAGCCTGAGCTCTCATTGGCCTCCCCCATCACTCAGCCACAGTACTGGGAGGTGCTGAGCTGCAGTGACTTGAGATGGGCCAGGCCTGCCGCAGAAGATTCAGGCAGTACACAAGCCCTCCCAGCTGGCCTCAGCACCAACTGGCTAATCAGGTTCCCTTAGGCCTGTTTCTATGCTAGTGACTGACTCCATAGCCTGGGGAGTTAACCCCTGACTCAGTCCAGCCCTTCAGATCCAGAGTCTGGTTTTCCCTGGGTCATTCTGACCTCCCTGCTGCTGGTAGGTTCACTCTTTTCTTAAACGGACTGGAGTTTTATGTACTGTCTTGTCCTCTTCTGGCCAGACTTCCTTAAGTACCAGGTTTAGAGAGTACATGTCTGGGACCTGGGGGCTTCAGAATCTGCCGGAGCTCTCCTGAGAGAGCTCTCCTGGGGCTGACATCTCGTTTGGCCTGTTCTGGAGCGGTGGTGACATCTGTCTTCTGTGTTCTTATTTCCCCCGTCTTCCCTTCAGATACGGTGAGATTGTCTCTGTTTTCAAGCTCTTTCAGAGTACATGTTTGTCTTTCCAGGAGAACGTGTTTGCGGGGCAGTCAAAGATCTATGCCTACATGAGTCCAAACAAGTGCTCTGGAATGCGCTCCCCTCTTCAGGAAGAGAACTCAGTTGCACATCATGAGGTCAAAAGCCAGGGGAAGCCATTAGCTGGAATCTACAGGAAGCGAGAAGGTAAGTCCTGAAATTGCCCCTTCTTTCTCACTCACTCACACACACCCTCCCTTCCTTCTCAGGGACACATACGCACACCCCAGCACCCTTTCCCAGGGCCAAGTGTGAGGGAGATATTAACTGTGTTCCTTCTCACTGGTGAGAAGCAAACACAGATGGAAAGAGCAGGATGTGTCAGGGTGTGTGTCCTGTGGTCTGACAGGTTTTTCCAACTTTCACAAGAGTTAGCATATCCTTCAGGCGTGTCTTGCCACATTGCAAAAATAACACACCTGGCCTGCGATTCGAGAGGCTTCTGGTTGTTAAGAATGCAGGAAAAGTGAATCCAGGCTGTGCTGCGCAGGCGGCTGCAGAGTGAAGTGACCTCAGTGGATACGCTCACTGTCCTTGTATGACGGGCCTTGACCCCATTTCTTCAGTTTCTCTCCGTTCAGGTGTTCTGTGTTACTTTGCAAAGCAGCATGCGCTGACTGTGAGATTTGGAGTTAGATATATTGTGTAGGCTGGTGGCAGGGCTCAGTGCTACAGCACTTACGTAGGGTGTGAGACCCTGGAGTTGATCCTGTGCCCTTTACAAAAAAGGAAAAAGAACACAGAAAGAAAGACTAAACCAAGAACACATGTGTATCGACGATTCTGTAGGAGGCACATCAGGATTCCAGTAGTCTCAAAGCCTGGCCTACAGGATGAGCGGTTTGCCCACCTCACCGCCCAGAATGAGTAGGGTTGGGATGCAGCTCAGTGGTATGATGCTTGCTGAGCAAGTGTGAGGCCTTCAGCTCACCTCCTAATACCACAAAGAATACTCCACTTAGCCCTGTGAACAACGTGAACCCTCCAAGAATCTTGCTTTCTTCCAGATAGTCCTTTTTAAAGCTTTAGTGGGAATGCCGGGCAGCAGTGATGCCTTCAATCCCAGCAGAGGCAGAGGCAGGTGGATCTCCGTGAGTTCAAGGCTACTCTGGGCTACGAGGTCTAGTTCCAGGACACCCAGGACTGTTACACTGAGAAACCTTGTCTTAAGGAAAACAAAACAAAACAAACCTTTAGTGAGGAGTCTGGGGCACCTGACCACCCCCATGCCTCACTCCTTATAAATGAACCCTACCAGACAGAGCAGGGCCTCCAGGCTGTCATCGGCTTTATAGGAGAAAGCTGTGTATTCCCTAATGGAAATGGTCAGAAGTGCTAAGGCCCAAGCTCTGACCCTGTATCTGAGCCCTATGGCTGTGGAAGGGAAGGGGCCTACCCTCAGCTTGAACCTTTTTCTCCACCCCCGTGCGTGCACAGGGCTATGTTGTCTGAGTCAGTCTCAAAATAGCTTAGGTTCCTACTGTAACTGCCACTGGAAAGGAGGGAGGAGGCCTGGGCAAACTGCAGCTCTCTTGTGAGCCTGATTGTCATATCTGTCAGTTGAGAGAAGAAATCCTGTCTCCCCCCCTTGGGTTGTGTGTACAAGGGCCTTGGGTGTTGGCAGCTGCCAGCCTGGCTCCGCTGCCATCACCACATCTTTCTACGTCCTTGTGCCTGCAGCTATTAGGAGGGCATCTGCCACCCAGGTGTGGGCGAAGGACTCTGTCTGAGGCCTTAGCCGCCTTGCATTGCTTCCTAAACAGAGCAGAGTTCATGGTGATGGGGGCTCACAAGCTGGTGTGCTGGTTCCTAGTGCTGCTAAATGGCGGGGACTAGGGTGTGGGGGTTTCTGTGAAAGGTCAGACTTTAACCCAGTTGTGCTGTGGCAAGGCACATGTCACAGGTGTTAACAGACACTGCATACTCCCGGGGTTACACCTGCCTCCTGCCAAAAAGGGAGTGGGCTGATCTAGATAGACTTAGGGGGGTTTTGTTTCAATTATATTTAGTGTGTGTGTGTGTGTGTGTGTGTCAGTGAGAATGTAGAGGAAGACTCCTCATGCTGATGTGGCATTCACTTTACTAAGCCAACTCCCCGGCTCCCTATGTCCGACTTCCTTCTGCTTTTGATGCATTTCTTTTTCCTCTTTTGCTTATTGAGCTATAATTCAGGCATCAAAGTATATTTGCTTATTTTATAGAGCTGAGGGTAGAACCCAGAGACGTAGGCAAGCACTCTCCCACTGGGCTACATCCTAACTCGCCCGCCCCCAATAACCCAGGCTGGCCTCAAAATTCCCATGCAGCTGAAGATGGCTTTTACCTTGCATTCTGTTTCCACCTCCCAAGTGCGCTGGGATTACAGGTGTGTGCCACCGTGCAGGGTTTTACTCTCACCTTCTTAGCTATGCCCCAGCTCCAAAGTGTACAATCGAGTGGTTTTTAGTGTCTGGAGAGTTATACAACACCACCTCTGTCTAAATTCAGAACATTTTCATCGCCCCACAAAGAACACCCCATCCCCCACAGTTCTGCACAGCTCTGAAACTCCTTTCTGGGGTCAGCTTTGTCTGTTGACTTTTCATGCAAATGAAGTCATAGGATATGTAGCCTTTTTCACTCAGCATGTTTTTTGAAGTCTGTTCATGTTGTATGTAGTATGTATGTCAACGCTTCATGCCTTTTTAAGGCTGAATCATAATCATCTCCCATTTGCAGACAGATGACATTTTGTTTAACTATTCATCCACTGATGGTCACTTGAGTTATTTGCTTTCCTGGCTGTTGTGCGTAAGCTACCACGTTTCGTGTATAGATGTTTGTGTAGACATGTGTTTTTAATCATCTTGAGTAGATGACTGAGTGTGGAATTGCTGGGTCTTATGGTAATTATATGTTTAATTTTGTGAGGAAACTGCCAAACTGTTTTCTAAAATTGCTGTGCCATCTCATATCTCTGCGTAGTATATTAGTTACTTTAAAAAGTAAATCATTGGGGCTGGAGAGATGGCTCAGTGGTTAAGAGCATTGCCTGCTCTTCCAAAGGTCATGAGTTCAATTCCTGGCAACCACATGGTGGCTTACAACCATCTGTAACGAGAGCTGCTGCCCTCTTCTGGTATGCAGACACACAGACAGAATATTGTATACATAATAAATAAATAAATATTTAAAAAAAAAAAAGTAAATCATTAGGCCGGGCGATGGTGGCGCATGCCTTTTAATCCCAGTACTTGGGAGGCAGAGGCAGGCAGATCTCTGTGAGTTTGAGACCAGCCTGGTCTACAGAGCTAGTGCCAGGACAGGCTCCAAAGCCATAGCGAAACCCTGTCTCGAAAAACCAAAAAAAAAAAAAAAAAGGTAAATCATTAGGCCAGGCAGTGGTGGCGCACACCTTTAATCCCAGCACTCAAGAGACAGAGGTAGGTGGATCTCTCTGAGTTCGAGGCCAGCTAGCCTACAGAGCGAGTTCCAGGACGGGCTCCAAAGCTACAGAGAAACCCTGTCTGACGGGGGAAAAGAAAGGAAAACATTAGATCCGTTTTTAAAAATAGCATGGTTCACCAGCACAGGGCTTGTGCACTGTTAGCCATAAGTCTGTTTGCTCTGCACTTTGTTGCAGGATGCATTTCAGCATGCCCAGGTACCCTCCTGAGTACCTCTGGGAGCAGGCTTCAACCTTGTTAGAAGGAACGTTTGTTTGACTAAGGGTCTGAAGTGAGTGGGAAGAGTCTGGACGCTGTCCCGTCACTCTGCCCGTCAGTGCTAGCTAGCTAGCTAGCTCTTGCTTTGAGAATTGAGCTTGTTTCCTTGGTTCTGAAATCCAATGTCTGAAAGCTGCTGGCTGAACGTTCAGGCCAGCATTATCATCCACATTAGTACTTCACATGATCTCAGGCTATCTCCTATGTCCACATACAGAGGACCACTTCTCCTTGCCAATGTTTCAGTCAAAGCATAGACCCAAGTGCTTCTGCCTGGTTGGCGTTAGTGGACCCTGGGTCCAACCACTTCAGGACCCTCCCATGATGATGTTCTTAGCCTGTCTTAGAACGCATGTGATACCAGTGCATAGAGTAAATCCCTGCCCCCACCCCCTCTGCAGAGAAAAGAAATGCTGGGAATACAATCCGAAGCTCCGTGAAGTCTGATGAACAGAAGATCAAAGACGCCAGGAGAGGTCCCCTGGCTCCTTTTCCAAACCAAAAATCTGAAGCAGCAGAGCCTCCAAAAATTCCACCCCCGTCAAGTGATTCTACCAATACAGTGGTTGCCAAGCAGGCCCTGAAAAAACCCCTCAAGGGCAAGCAGGCCCCTCGGAAAAAGTAAGTATCTTGGTGCCTTCTCCTAACATAGAGCTTAGGTTCCTGTGGCCTGGCTCCGGTGCCTGCTGTGGTTATGTAGTCCACTGCCAGGCCTCTCCTGAGTCAGCACACTTCCTGGTGTCTCCCTCTGTCCGTGGTGGGTCCAGAGGTCAAGGCCTCCCTCCCAGTCTATTCTCCTGGGAGGGAGTGATCAGTTGTCCTTGAAACTGGGGCCCACCTAGGTGGGTGTGCTGAGGAGCTGTTAGGCCCCAGTACACAAAGGTGTTTGAGAAACACGGCGTCACCTCCTGGATCTGAGCAGGGCAGTAGGCCTTGTGCTTATTTTCCTCCCTCCCCTCTCACCCAGGTCTCAAGGGAAAACACAGCAGAATAGAAAGCTTACAGATTTCTACCCGGTGCGAAGGAGCTCCAGGAAGAGCAAGGCTGAGCTACAGGTAGGGTCTGATCAGCTGTAGCTGGGAGGAACATGGTGGCCTATGGGTTTTGCTTAGTATGTGTAGGTGGAGCCTGAAGTGTGTCTTTTGTTCTTCCTTTAGCAGAGATCATCCTCAGCTCCCTCTGCCTTCCTGGTGGAGCAGCAGGCTTGCTTAAGACCGCTCTAGGGAATTTTGTAACCTGTTCCTCATGGCATAGAAAATCGATTGGCTTTTCCAGGGCATGTTGACAGGCCTTTTAGAACCTAGAATCATGGAGGAAGTTACCTGTTCTTTCATGGGCTTCTCTTGTCAGCCATCTAGACGTTCCTAAAGAACAGTGCTGGAAATACTTAGACACCGTGGTGCAGTACATTCTTGCTGTAATATGTCGGCAGAGGGACCTGCCTGGTGGCGGGTCAGGCCCAAACCACTGCTCGAGACAGACTATGCCATGCAGGCATAGTTTAAGTGTGGAGTTTATTGGCGGGGAGAGAGCAAGAGCTGCTTGCCTGGGTAGCGGGGGAGATTGGGAGTAGAACTTGTCTCTTAAAGGGACCTTTGTACCTGTGAACAAATTAGGATCTGCTTGCCATATGCAGAGGGGTAACTATGCCAGGTTGCTAAGAGGGCGTCAGGATGCTACCAATTCTCCTGTCTGTAAAATAGAAGGACAGAGTTTGGAGAACTCAGTGTAAGTTCTGATGAGAGCGGCCTGGTCTGGACAGCAAGTTCTAGGCCAGACAGGGCTTCATAGCAAGACCCTGCCTCAAAAAATGAAAAGAAAGATCGTTGCTGGTGAGTTGTTAGTTAGATTAAAGAAATCAGTTTGTGATAGCTGTCGTGTGCTGATCCCAGCATTCAGGAGATAATCCAGTTTGAGGCTACACAGTAAAACTCGTTGGCTGCATAGTAAAACTGTCTTAAAGCAAAATGCTCAAGTAAAATGGCTTCCTGGAGCCAGGTAGGTAGTTCAGTTGGAGTCCTTGCTTAGCATGCCTCTGGAAGTCCATGGTTTCCATCCCTAGCATTGTATAAACTGGAGTTGGGTGGCTCTGGTCTATAATACAATCCAAGGACTGAGGAAGTAAAACATCATGAGTTCAAGGCCAAGCACAGAGTGGTGTGGTGCTTGTAATCCAGTTTTCCAGAGGCAGAGATAGATGGATCTCTAATGCTGTGGCCAACCTGGTCTATGTAGTATCTTCCTGGTAACCAGGGCTACATAGAGAGAAGCCCTATCTCAAAAAACAAACAACAAAAGTACAAGTCTAAGTTACTTAAAGAATTTGAGGCCAGCCTGGGCTACATGAGACCCTTTTGTACTGTAATGAGTGCAAATGACAGTTATTAACACACACACACACGTTTCTTAGGTCTCCTGTCTGTCTGTTCCCAGCTGAACATCAAGTGGCCGGTAGGCAGGAAGGTAGCCGGCTCATGTGGCCCCACATGTCCAGTACCCAGTGGACAACCTGTCAATATTTGCTGCAGTGTACTGTGGTCATTGTTTCTCTGTTCTGAACCCCTTGGGTATGGCCAGATGCCTCCTTGTTCCCATACAGTGATTCAGGGTCACCCCTCCCCCCCATTTCCCTGTAGGTCTTTTTGACTTTGGAGGTTCCGGGTCACCTCCGCATAGGAAAGAATCATTTGATCTGCTGCAGAGGTCTCAGCGTCTGAGATGGCAGATAACGCAGGCAGAGCTATGGAGCTCTGTCATCTTCTCTCCTGTTAATTGATACGGCTTTATTTAAAAAACAAACCCAAAGAGGGGAGGGTCTGCTTCTCCCACCCTCCCTCCCCATGTCCCCAATAGCTTTGGCTTTATTTCTTGTCAAAGACAGCGTCTTTTGGCCAAGAATGAGTTGTTCTAACACCCGCCAGCAGTGGGAGGCTGTGCTAGGTCACTCTCAAAGGCAGCACTGCAGAGCGGAGGTGGTGCCAGGCCACAGAGCCCAGAGCTCCTCCCAGCCAAGCAGGAGCAGTAGCAGGCCCCAGAGGAGGGCTGGGGACTGCTGGGTGGGAGCAGCTGAGGCTGTGTACTCTTGTGCCTGGAGACAGAAGGTTGCAGAGGTGACACAGGCCACCGACTTCCTGCAGCAGATAAGCTGCAGGCAAGGAAAGTGTGCCCTGTTACTAGACCAGGAACCAGTACAAGCAAGAGCCACACTGTGCCCCTCGCTGTTTGTCTTGGCACTGCTGAAAGAGCTTTGTGTCCTGCCGTTGGCTGTAGCAGTGCAGTGACAGCTGCCCAGGACGATGTGGCTGTAGCTGCTGCTGGCAGGGTCTGTGTTCTCTTGAGAAAGCTGGAGGACATAGCGGCTAGGTTTGTCAGAGGGTTTAGGCTAGACTGGGGACTGAGTTACTAGGTAGGCCATTCTTGACCAAGTGACTAAGAGTGAAATCAAAGTGCCAAGTTCTGGGGTACCTCATAGGCTGAATAACAAGCTGGCAGGGCAAAGCCAGGTACAGAGTTCAGAGTAGGAGAGAGGGATTTGGGCTATAGGCTTTGTGCACAGAGCAAGCCATAGAGAGATGCTCCCAGCCCTATGGCTGGCTGGCTGCCGTGCCCATTGATGGGTGACAACCACAGCATAGTAAGAATTCTAACTGTTGGCAATGCCCTGGCTTCCATTCTGTTTCTGGTACCACCTGAGGACCATAAGGGGTCCTTCCTGTCCACCTTCACTCAGGACTACTGTTCTAACCCCCACTCTGTCTGCATTCTGGCCTGCTTTGTCTGTGCCTAAGTTATCCTTAAGAAACTGAGGGCAGGCTTTTGAGAAGCCTCAAACTCCTAGCCTACCGCTCCTCAGTTCAGCTCCTCCCAACAGGAAAATCCCCAGGTGCCTACACCCCTCAACAGTCGTCCTTTCTGTACACACTGGAGTGATTAACTGCCACAAGGTGTGTCCATCCAGAATCTACTCCCGCCCCCTGTCCCTGCTAGGGTTTTCTGCGGTGAACAGTTTCAGGCACCTATAGTCAGGAAATAAGCACTCCAGCGGCCGGTGCTGAAGGGCAGCTCTAGTGTCCTTGTCTCCCAGGCCTGAAACTCCGTGCAGTCACCAGTCCTGCCAGGAAGACAAAAATCAACCTTGAATACCTTTGGATATTTATTAGCTTAGTGAGCTAGAGCAGCTTGGTAGAGGGTGGAGCCTAAGGCCCCAAGGTCCGCTGGAGTCTTCAGTCTCCCTGAAAAGGTGTCTTGGAACAAAGGAGGAAACGGCAGGCAGATGGATGAGGGAAAAGGTCACTCTGCCGGAAGCACAGCTGCTCAGAGGCCTAGAGGCTGAAGACCCGGCTTTCTGGAAGAGCTGCTGGCTACGTAGCTGGTGAGGAGGTGTAGATATGGCAGTGGGGGAGGTGAGGCCTGTACCTTGTCCATAAGATACCTAGTCTTGTGCTAAGGTAGAAAAGTCTGGAGTGGTGACACCTAATCCAAGCCCTTAGAGTTCAAGGTCGAACTGTCTCAAAACTGGAGAGAGTAATGGTGTAAAGGTGTATAGTAAAGCGGCGTTGAGTGAGCATGTGATGCCTGTTCTCACTATCGGAGAGTCTGCTGAGGGGATTTTGAGTTCCTTCCCGCACAGTAAAAAGCCTGGTGCTAAATTTTTTACTTTCAAAAGGGCTGGGCATGGTAGTGCATAACTTTAATGTCTATACTTGAGAGACAAAGGCAGAGCCTGGCTGTGGTGGACCAAACCTTTAATCCCAGCAGAGGCAGGCAGATCTCTGTGAGCTCAAGGCTAACCTTGTCTATAGAGTGAGTTCCAGCATAGCCAGAGCTATACAGAGAAATCGTGTCTCGAAAAAGCTTAAAAAAAAAAAAAAAGTAAAGACTGTCTAATCTGCTCCTTGTGATTCATCCATTTCTGTGTGCGTTTGGTAGTGCTAGGCGTTAAACCGTGTGTTGAGCAGGCATTGTCTCCTCAGTGCTGCACCCCTCCCCCATTTTTTACTCTTGTTTATCAAGACAGGGCTTCACTGTGTAGCTGTTCTGGAACTCACTATATAGACCAAGCTGGTCCCAAACTCACAGAGATCCGCCTCCCTCTGCCCCCTGAATGCTGGGATTGAAGATGTGCCTTGCCAGATTACCCTCTGCTGGCCTAGAATTCACTATGTAACTGAGGCTGCCCTCAAATGTGTGAACGTCCTGCCTCAGCCTCCTGAGCAGCTGGGATTGTGGGCATAGGCCACTGTGCCCAGTTCATGGTGATGGTGATTTCACATGAAGTTGGAATCCAGATTTTCCATTTACTTACTTACTTGGAGCTGCGGCATTCGTGTGCCATGGTTTGGGTGTGGTAGTCAGAGAAGACAATGTTAAGGGAGTTGGCTCCGTCCTTCTACTGTGTGGGTTCCGGAGATAAATTCAGATGGTCAGAATTAGCAGCAAATGCCTTTGCCCAGTGAGCCATCTTGCCAGCTCTAGAGTCCTGATTTTAATCCTGGTAAATTAAACATTTTTAAAAAGTACTATGGAGGACAAGCAGTGTGTTTATAACCTGAAGTTGTAAAGTTTGTTCTCTGTTCCTGTTTTAGAGGAGACAGCCCATGAGCTGACCCCTGTTGCGTTAGGTAGGCAGCATTTCATGGAGGAGCACATGGGACAAAGGCACTGGCCTCATTGCTGGAAATGAGAAACTAGGCAGGAGTTCACTACCCCGTAAAGGGTACACCCACACACACACACACACACACACACTCACTCGGTTCCACCTCTTAATGGTTTCAGTGCCTCCCAATAGCACCACAGGACTTGGGTTTCTCACAAGAACCTTTGTGAGACATTTGAGATCCAAACTAGCTGGGAATGGTAATGCCTATCTATTTTCCCACACTCTGTGATCATGAATTCAAGGCCAGCCTGGGCTTTCAGAATGACTACCTGTCTCAGGAACCAAGTCTTTAAGTATAGCAAGCAACCCAGAGCTGTGTCCTTCCTGTCCCTGAGACACTAGATGATGGATTTCTCACCGCAGATGAGTGAGGAGAGGTGTGCTCAGGGCTCTGGCCTCCCAGGTCGGCCATACATGGTGAGTGAGTGCTAACACTCTTCTGCTTCCTCTCTACCCAGTCTGAAGAGAAGAAAAAAATTGATGAACTGATTGAGAGCGGGAAGGAAGAAGGCATGAAGGTAAGGCCACAGCATCACTGCACTGTAGTCATGGCCTTACTACGTAAGCGCATGACTGAGACCAGCCAGAAGGCTGCCTTGGGTACACACATAAATATTGTGTGTGTAATGCTTATTTTGCTTGTATGTATGTTCGTGCACCACATTCAGGCCTGATAGACACAAAAGCCAGGTGGTGGTGGCACACACCTTTAATCCCAGCACTCGAGTCAGAGGTAGGCGGATCTCTGAGACCAGCCTGGTCTACAAGAGCTAGTTCCAGGACAGGCTCCAAAGCTATAGAGAAACCCTGTCTTGAAATACAAAAGAAAGGGGCTGGAGAGATGGCTCAGAGTTTAAGAGCACTGCGTGCTCTACCAAAGGTCCTGAGTTCAATTCCCAGCAACCACATGGTGGCTTACAACCATCTTTAATGGGGTTTAGTGCCCTCTTCTGGCCAGCAGAATATTGTATACATAATAAATAAATATTTTTTATTTATAAATAAAAGTCAGAAGAAGGCATTTGATTTCTTGGAACTGGAGTTTCGTGGTCTGTCATTGTGATCTTCCATGTAGGTCCTGAGAAGCCAGGTTCTGTGCAAGAATAAGTGCTCTTAATTGCTTTGCCATCTCTCTCAGCTTCATTTCTAAATGTAATCTTTACAAAGGATTTTTTTATATGCACCTGTGTACATCTTCATGCTTTATGCAAATGGAATGGGGTTGCAAACAGGCCAGAAGAGGGCATCAGATCTCTTGGAGCTGGAGTTACAGCTGATTGTAAGTTGTCCAATGTGGTGACATGGGTACTGGGAACTGAACTGGGTCCTCTGCAAGAACAAGTGCTCTTGAGTGTTGAGCCATCTCTCCAGCCCTTGAACTCTTTTGGTTTGTTTGTTGTGTTTAGACAGATTCTCTCACTGTGTAGCCTCTGCCTCCAAAGTTTTGGGATTAAAGGCGAGCACCACTATGCCTGGCCCTGGGTGAGCTATGAAAAAAAGAAAGATGCAGTGGGATAGTAGCAGAAGTTTTATTTTTTTTATTTTTGGTTTTTCAAGACAAGACAGGACAGGCCTGGATGTCCTGGAACTCGCTCTGTGGACTAAGCTGGCCTTGAACTTAGATCTGTCTGCCTCTGCCTCCCAAATGCTGGGATTAAAGGCGTGTGTCACCACTGTCTGGTGTGGGTTTTATTTTTATTGAGGCTTTTCCAATAAAGTTTTTTTTTATTTTAATGTAGTACAACCCCCCTGGAAGACAACGTGCTTGGTGACATCTCTTATATTTATGAACTCATGATGTCTTGTCACCTTCTGACAGATTGATCTCATTGATGGAAAAGGCCGGGGTGTAATTGCCACCAAGCAGTTCTCCCGGGGAGACTTTGTGGTAGAATACCATGGGGACCTCATTGAGATCACCGATGCCAAGAAGCGGGAGGCTCTGTATGCACAAGACCCCTCCACAGGCTGCTACATGTACTATTTTCAGTATCTGAGCAAAACCTACTGGTGAGTACCCTGGGAGTGACCAGCGGAGGTCAGGCAGAGAGCTGGGTGCCTTGGAGCCTTCCTGAGTCTCGATCAGTTTCCTTGCTTGTTACCATTAGATCAGGGCCCACCGTGGCCCTGGCTGGCCTCAGACTCATTAGCCTCCTGCCGTAGCTTCCTGCGCCCTAGGATTGCAAGCTTGAAGAGCCATGTCCAGTGAGATCAGCTGCTTTCACCTCCCTAGTTAGTTTTTGGGATTGTAGCTGTCCTCAAGCAGGAGGGGACTTATCCCCTAGAAACCTGCTCAGAAGCCCACCAAGATGGTAATTGTTCCTTCCTGGCTGAGGTCAGGGGAGCTGGTTTGCCATTTATATATTTTGAAACACTACAGTTAACTTAGCTCCATAGAGAGTCTTTGGGTCTGTCTCCAAGCTCTCCAAAGTAGCCTTTGGAGTTAAACTGTCTTCCCCCAAGGGCGGCTGCCAGTCGACACCCACTTGTGGGGCAAGATCCCAGCAGGTTAGAGGCCTCTGTATCAGTGTAATCCCCTTTGCTCTCCCACCACACCAGCGTGGATGCCACTCGAGAAACTAATCGCCTGGGAAGGCTGATCAATCATAGTAAGTGTGGGAATTGCCAGACCAAACTGCATGACATCGATGGCGTGCCTCACCTCATCCTCATCGCCTCCCGCGACATTGCAGCTGGGGAAGAGCTCCTGTACGACTATGGAGACCGCAGCAAGGCCTCCATTGAGGCCTATCCTTGGCTGAAGCATTAACCATGTGGCCTCCCTGCCACCCTGCCTCCTTCAAAGGACAAAGTGCCCTCAAAGGGAAATGATTTTTTTTTACACACACTTACTCTTAGCTAATTACTTCAGATGTTTTTAAAAAGTCTATTAAAGATGCCTTTTCATGTAGTATTTAAATATCTGTTACAGGTTTCCAAGGTGGACTTGAACAGATGGCCTTATATTACCAAAACTTTTATATTCTCTTTGTTTTTGTACTTTTTTTCATACAATTGAGCTTTTGTGCTTCCCGTGCAGTCAAGGACTCGGCCGGCACAGGTGTAGAGAATGGAGTGGAACGTGAACTAGGAAGCCGGGCTCTGCCCAAGATGAAAGCCAGGACTCCCCCGCACCCCACGTCCAAGGACAGGCGGGTGTGAGGGTGCTGCCACCCCCCACGCACAGCCTGGACGGGATGTCTCCAAGCTCTTGTTCTCCTCAGCGTCTTGACAGGCGTACACATTGACGTGTGTGAATATTTTTTAGCAAAAGTTTTGCAGTAAGCTCGTCTTCCCCTCTGCTTTCTCCAAAGCTTACTGAGCCCGGGGCTCGGAAGCCCGGCCGGGAACAGACCTCTTCCACAGGCTTTCGGCTTTTCCAGGCACCTCGAAGCATCAGGGTGGGCAGTCAGACTAGAGGCAGGCCGGGAAAAGCACTGTTCTCCTGCCCCAGCGGGGCGGGTCTCCTGAAACTGCATTAATTCTTTATAGAAATGTGAACACTGAATTTATTTTAAAAAAATAATAAAACAATAAAACGTTTTAAAAAAATCAAAAAAATGGAAAAAAACCACAGAAAACAACTTATATGTATATAGGTTTTGAAAGGAGTGAAATGACTGTTTTCTTCTGGATTTTTTTTTAAGCTTTTTTGGCTTGGCTGGATGGTTTGTGTAGAGAAGATTTGAGATGGTACTCTTCTAATCAAAAGTAAGATTTTTCTAGTGGGACCAGAAATTACTAAGTCCATACACACCTACCCACCCCTCCACCCCCGACCTGCAATCCTGATTCTGCGGCATGGAAAGTTCTCTACCTGCTGCCAAGGCACAACCCCTGGTATCCTGTGAAGATGCTGCAGCCCAGGATCCCTGGAGGCATCAGATGTGTGGCACTAGGGTGCCTGGCAGCCAGAGAATCATTGTGATTGTTCTTAACCTGTGATAGCAGAAGTAGGTGGTTTACTTCCATTTGGGGGCTGGGGCTCTGGAGCTAGGTATGAGAACTTACCCTTGTCCCCAACACCTCCCCCATCCCCCAGCCTCTTGATGGTGCTACCTAAGAAAGTCTTCCCCACACCCCTTGCTAGTCCGGTCAGTGGTCAGACTTGGAGGAGGATCCGACAGGAGGGTGTAACTGTGAGCTAAAATGTCTTGGTTGTACCTGTTTGTGGCTTAGCTTTGTATTTAAATAGCAAACAAAAAAAAGGAAATAAACTTGAAAATTATTTGTCATCATAAAAATAAAGAGAAAAGAATTAAAATATTTATTGCCAGGCAATGCCACCTATGTGTTCTGTTTTATGAGGGTAAGATGGACTAAAATGGGTGGGGTGCGGGTGGCTCAGCCTGTGCCACCAAGCCTGATTGCTTGAGTTTGGTCTCTGGGATCCACACACATGGAAGAAGAGAACCAATCCCCATAAGTTCTATTCTGAGCTTTACACATACTGTGGGTTATAAATAAATATAGAAAAGATGGTGGGAGCCGGGCAGTGGTGGCACATGTATTTAATCCCAGCACTCAGGAGGCAGAGGCAGGTGGATCTCTGAGAGGCTGGCCTTTGCTACAAAAGCTAGTTCCAGGACAGGCTCCAAAGAAATCCTGTCTCGAAAAACAAACAAAAAACATGGTGGGATCTAACTTCATGCTGAGACACTATTTGGGGTTTGTCCTAGGTAGCCAGAGTTCAAGTATGTTTTTAGAATTGGGTTCCTGAGTCACCTTTATAAGATGGGAGTTTGGTAATATATATGGTATCTCTGGGTAATGACTAGCATGCGGCAAATACCCTAAATGGTAGTATGACTGTCTTGTTTTGAGACATGTCCAAGCTGCCCTTGAACTGATAACTTATTCCTCTGTCTCCCTAGTGCTGGTCGCAGGTGTGCATCCCCATACAGGTTCTGTTGTCATTTCAAATTCAATACATTTGACTGTTTCCCAAGACATAGTTCCACTGTGTGATATCCCTGGACATCTGGAACTCAAGATTTGCCTGCCTCCACCTCTGAGGATACTAGGATTAAAGGCATACGCCACCATTCCCGGCTGTAGATAGATTTCTTAGCATCACCTGGTACCTCCTAGAGCTGCATCTGCCCCAGTCATATGTTGACTGGCTTTGTTACTGCAGCCTTTCTTTGCCACCTGTTGGGACTGGATGGTTTAGAGATCGTGTCTGTCAAATGGAACAGCCTGCCCATTGCCCTCAAAGGGTGTTCCGAAGTCGCATGGTCCCTTATAGAGGATTCTGTGCCTAGTGGTCAAATGTGAGCTGCTTCCTGCCCAGCACTGATGCAGTAGGAGTATAAGGGCTGATGATGTGTTGATACTGAAACGACCCTTGGACTAGCGCTTTGCATATGGTTATCAATGCAGGTATCCTCAAGAGTAAAAATATTGGGCTGGAGAGATGCCTCAGCCCTTAAGAGCACTGGCTGCTCTTTCAAAAGTCCCGAGTTCAATTCCCAGCAACCTCATGGTGGCTCAGCCATCTGTAATGAGATCTGGTGCCTATTCTGTCCTACAGGCAAACACGCCGGCAGAATGCTATATATAATAAATATTTAAAAAATAATTTCAAACTTTCCCAAGTGCACGAGGCTGATAGCTAGCAAGGGCTTCCCAGTTCTGGTATTTTAAGCTGGATGTGAACGACTGTGTAAAAGCATTAGGCACCACCCCCAATCCCAAAACTCGGGGAGATTTCTGAGTTCAAGTCCAGCCTGCTCTTACATAGATAGTTCCAGGAGAACCAGGGCTGTACAGCTCTAGCTGTAACAAGCCCGGTGAGTCAAGTTCAGTCTGTGAAACCCACCTACAGAGCTGGGTATCGGCACATGCCTTTGGCCTCAGCACTCAGGAGGCAGAGGCAGATGGATCTCTGTGAGTTCCATGCCAGCTACGACTACATAAGGCAGCATTCTGACAGGGAGATGGAAGCAGAGACTGAAGAATTCTCCAGAAGCTCCAGAGCCAGCAATGCTGGAATACATGGAAAATTAGAAAAAAAAGGAGACCCCCCCCCCACCTCAACAAGGTGGAAGTCCAGAACCTACTCTCTAAAGTTAACCTCTAGCGACTGGAAAGGTGGCTCAGTCCTTAAGAGCACTGACTACTCTTCCAGAGGATCCAGGTTCAATTCCCAGCACCCACATGGTAGCTCACAACTGTCTGTACCTCCAGTTCCAGGGGATCTGACACCTGATGTAATAAAATGAGAAGCACTTTGCACTACTGGAGCTCAGAAGCCTTGAGTCCCCTTTGAGTCAGAGCTTCGGCATTTCCTTCAGGCTGCAGAGACAGCCTTCCTGGCTGACACCTCACTGGGTTCCATACTGAGCTGCATGCCCACAGGCGTATGCACCATCTTAACTCTTAAGAGACCACTCTGAAACAGCAATAGAAAGTATAAAGGCCATTTTACTTTTAATACAAAAGTCATATAAAGTTGCATGAGAAAAAAGTATTCACCAAATATCAGTGACGTCAGTTCCATATTTTCCCACATTTTTGTCTCTCTCTGCCACAAGTTAGTCACCAGATTCTCGCTGACGCTGGAACAGGCTGTAGGCCAGAGGCCTCTCCATGTGTGGAGGCAGGATGTGGCCATGCTGTGTTCCTTTGGAGTCCTGGTATTGGTGGCTGTCCAGCTCTGTCCCTGGGGAGCATCTTCCTTTGACTGCTCTGAGGGGAAACGAGTGTGCAAGCCCAGAGCACAAGCATGGCACAGAGAGATGGTTCCAGAAGACATCTTACTTGTCTTCAGTCAGAGGGTCACCACCGTGGCCACGGCCTTCAGTCTAGGTATGCTTCCCTGACCGGAAAGAGAACCTGGATGGAGAGGGAAGGGAAGGGAGAACAGGCTGAGGACGCCATTCATTCAGGCCTGTGTGATGTTACGGGGGTAAAGGCGCTTACTCCAAGCCTGACAGCCTGAGCTTGATCCCTGGAACCCACATGGTGGATGAGGAGAACTGACTGTAACTAGCTGCCTGAGCTGCACATAGCTGCTGTGGAATGAGCACCCATAAACAAGCAAATTAATAAACGTAATTAAAAGTAAATTTGTTGACAACCTAAATGCCCCTTGACTAAGGAATGGATAAGGAAAATGTGGTACATTTATACATGGAGTACTACACAGCAGAAAAAAACACCGACATCTTGAAATTTGCAGACAAATGGATGGATCTACAAAACATCATATTGATGGTGGCAGAGGCAGGGGGCCAGCCTGGTCTACAGAGTGCTTTGAGGACAATCAGGGCTACACAGACAAACCTTGCCTTTCAGGGGAGGCTGAAAGAAACTAGTGGTTTCTGGCTTCGTTTAGACCAAGATATACAGAAAAGGGAGAAATAGCCGCACTTCCCTAGACAGCACAGCACAGCACAGCTCACTTGGTCTTAGAGCTCCTTGTGTTCCCCCTGCATGAAGGAAGCACGGGACCTCAGCCTGGGTATACTGTTGGGGACACAAATTTGTAATCTCAGCACTTGGGGAGTGGAGGCAGGAGGATCAGTAATGCAAGGCCAATCTGGGCAACTGTTAGTGAGTTTCTGTCTCAAACACAAGGGCTGGGAATAGAGGTCACTGGTAGAGTTTGTGATTAAACTGATAATGGCAGGAGCACGCCTTTAATCCCAGCTAAGGTGTGGCAGAGGCAGGCAGATCTCTGTGAGTTCAAGGCCAGCCTGGTCTACAAGAGCTAGTTCCAGGACAGGAACCAAAAGCTACAGAGAAACCCTGTCTCGAAAAACCAAAAAAAAACAAAACAAAACAAAAAAAAAACTAGGTGGTGGTGGCACAGGCCTCTAAGCCCAACAGGTGGGAGGCAGAGGCAGGCGGCTCTCTGTAAGTTCTAGGCCAGCCTGGTCTACCAAGTGAGTTCCAGGACAGCCAGGACTGTTTGACAAACTCTGTCTCTCAAAAAAACAAATAGAGGCCATGAATTTGAGAGAAGGGGCACATGGGAAGGGTGAAAGGATATATTCTAATTTTTAAAAAATTACTGTTAAAAACAAAACATGGTGATGCACGTCATCTTTATTCCAGCACTCAGGACACACTCCTGAGTAGGCAGACAGATGTCTGTGAGTTCAAGATCATCCAGGTCTGCATAGTGAATGCCAGTAAGATCATGTCTCAAGACCATAGATAGGCTCCCTCCCTGGTGCTGAGGAAGAAAAACCAGGGGTTAGAAAGATGGCTTAGCTGCAGGAGAGCACACTCGCATGTAGTTGCATGTACATGCACATCATTCAAAAAAATTTAAAAAGGGGCTAGAGAGATGGTTCAGTGGTAACTCCAGTTCCAGGGAATCTGATGTATTCTTCTGGCCTTTGAGGGCACTGACACTAAATGCACATTAGGCAGAAAAAACGCCAATAGACATAACATAAAGATAAATAAATCTTTCTAAAAGAAAAAGCAGCAGCCAGGTGGTGGGGGCACACACGTTTAGTCCCAGCACTCGGGAGGCAGAGGCAGGTGGGTCTCTGTGAGTTTGAGGCCAGCCTGGTCTACAGAGCGAGTTCCTGGGACAGCCAGGGTTGTTACACAAAGGAATTCTATTTCAAACCAAAAAAAGGGGGGTGGGGAAGGAATTTATTTTAGGAATGTATGTAAAAAAGTATCAGAAAATAGTGTGCCACCACTTGTTACCCTGTGATAGAAGGAAGTGGGTTCTATTGTCCTCAGGTCACATGTTAGGAAATCTAGGCTCCAGCGGAATTTACACGGGGTGGCGATCTGAGGAGGCAGAGCTTGGGACAAGCCACTGCCATTAGACAAGAGGAAGAAATGGGTATCGACATCTGAAAGCTGGAGGATTCTGCTACTGAATCAGAATCTCCAGGGTCTCTACAGTACACACAGGGCTTGTGACGGCACACTCAGGGAATCTGCTGGTTAAACATACTCCCTGTGTGCTAAGTTTTCTGTCAACTTGACACAACCTACTAGCGTTTCTGAGAAGGGAATTCTATTGAGAAACTGACTCATTAAGGCAAGCCTATAGGACATTTTCTTAATTAGTTGATTGACGTGGAAGGTCCAGCCACTGTGGGTGGTGCTATCTCTGGGCTGGTGGTTCTGGGTTTTATGAGAAAGCAGGCTGAGCAAGCCATGAGGTGCAAACCAGTAAGCAGCAAGCACCCTTCCAGGGTGCTCTGTATCAGCTCCTCCAGGTCCCTGCCCTGTGTGAGTTCCAGGTTCCATCATGCCGGGCAGCTCCTTTTTTTTAAAAAAAAAATATTTATTTATTTATTATGTATACAATATTCTGTGTGTATGCCAGAAGAAGGCACCAGACCCCATTACAGATGGTTGTGAGCCACCATGTGGGGTTAGTGGGAATTGAACTCAGGACCTTTGGAAGAGTAGGCAATGCTCTTAACCTCTGAACCATCTCTCCAGCCCAGCAGGGGAGCTCCTTAAGCAGGAAGGAAAACATCTAAAAGGAGCTTTAGGAAGTCCCTGAAATTGACCAGTTTCACTAGGCCCCTCCCTGCCAGAGTAAACAATAAAAGCTGAGCTTCCCTCCAAGACTAAATGAACAGAGCTGCAAAGGAGACTCCGACCAGACCAGCTGCCTGGAGGAGACAGACACCACTGAGCTGCTTGGAAGAGGTTTAGAACAACTGAGGCACCAGAAAGGACTCTCCACGCTGCTCAGCAGCTTGCAGGGGCTCCTGGTTCCCAGCTGCATGCGCTGTCACCCATGCTGGGGTGAACTTTGGTGATGCAGCTGTCCTTGAGTCATTTCTGCTCCTCTAAGTAACCTCTCACCCAGATTCCTGCAAGTAGCCTCAGTAAATCTCATGCTTCACCAAGATGGACTCTGGTGGTGTCTGTCGGGGGTTCCCTATCCAGAGTGAGTCGCTGTGGGCTTCATCTTCCCAGGAAGATCTGTGACTTTTGATGGTAAACTGTTATATGGAAGTGCAAGTAAGACAAACCCTTTCCTCCCCACACTGCTTTGCTCAGTATTTCATGGCAGCACAGAAACCCCGTCCGAGCAGAAGAGCAGCCAGTGCTCTTACCTGCCAGCCATCGATCGCTGCAGCCCCAACTTCCCTCTTTTTATTTATGAAAAATCCCTTCTAGATAGCTTCTCTTTGGCATGCCAAGCTGCCAGCTGAAGACTCTCCTGCCTTGAAGCCACTGTTGATAGGAGGTTCACTAGCCACCCCCCGACCCATGACCACTACACGATGGCCAGGCAGAGGGTGTGGACAGCCTGGCTTCAAAAAGATGGCCAGACAGTGCATGCCCTAGACTGGGCATGGCAGGAAACAGAATATTTTACCACACTGCTTAGAACAGCATACAACTGGAAACCGGCAAACTCACTCTTTCTTTTTCTCATTCTTTCTTTTTTTTTCATTGACAAAGGATTTCTTTGTATAAAGTCCTAAGCTGTCCTGGAACTCTGTAGATCAGGCTGGCCTCCAACTCACAGAGATCTGCCTGCCTCTGCCTCCTGAGTGCTGAGATTAAAGGTGTGCGCCACCATACCCTCCTGAAAACTCAAACTATTTCTAGAATAGTCCATTAAATATTTGTGGATCCTGGTTGTCCATGGCTAGGTGAAATCTTGGAAAGTGACCCTATGAATAATTTTAACGCTATTAATAACATAAAGGTTCAAAGTACTTGAGTCAGAGAGACTGACACCCATGGGCAGGCTCTTGCCCACACTTGCCAGAGTGTCCCAAGCTTAAACTTCCTCCCTAGCACTGGTACAGTTATGACTAAGTGGCATGAGACTTTCCTCCGGGCTGCAGCAGAGGAGAACCTCCCATCCCGGGCCTGGCCAGCCTCCCCTCATCCCACAGCATCTCATCATCATGAGCAGCCAGGTGACTCACAGCTTCTTCATGATGGTCCTCTCTTCCTTCTCACTGTTGCCCATGGTAACCACAGCATCTTTCTCTCTTCCAACTCTCGGAGCTTCTCTGGGTGGAAGCAGGCCACTGGGAAAGTGGGAGAGCAGGGGTGAGTAAACAGTTGTACTGCGGATCTCTTTTCTGGGGTTTTAGGTTAGTGGCACAGCATATGCTTAGGACACGGCAGGCCTCGGGTTCCATCCCTGACACCAAAAATAAACAGAATAAGGTATTTGTTGTTGGGCATCGAGACAAGGTCTCACAATGCAGACTAGGCTGGCTTTTAACTCATAGAGATCCCCCTGCCTCCGCCCCTTCAGTGCTGGGATTAAAGACTTGTGCCACTGCCACCACCACCACCTGGCAGCGTGCCTGGACTTCACTTGGTCATGGCTTCCCTATTAAAATATCGAGGACCTTTTGCTACCAGGGGCAGCCCTGTCCAGGGCTGTGCAGCTGTACACCAAGGCCGCTGCGGGGAGCCCACCTCCTGTAGCACTGCAGCTCCTCCTGCACCAGCAGCAGCTGCGACTTGAGCTTGTTGCGCTCCTGTAGCACGTCCCTTAGCTCCTGCAGGGTGAAGCGGGGCCGGTTGGGGTCGGTCAGGTCCACTACCATTTTGTCCGGTCCCAAGTTCACCTGAAAGACAACAGGCCAACGCAGCGAGGGTGAGTCACTGCAGTGGGCCACACCCACCTGGGAAGGGAAAGGTCAGCTCTGAGCTGAGGAAGGCAGATGAATGAAAAGGAAGTTTGAAGGTCTTACTCCTGCTCCTACTGAGAAGGACTTGAGTATCAGAATGGGAGATAACAAGAAGCCATGAAGTGCGTCACTGAGAATGAGTGCAGGGCTGATGAGATGGAGCCCCAGCTAAGTGTAATTGCTGCTCGTGCAGAGGACCCCAACTGGGTACCTCTGCGGCTGCTCACAACCTATAACCCCAGTTCCAGAGGATCCAACACCCTCTGCTGTCCTCCAAAGGTGTTAGACCTACACACGTGGTACACACACACACACACACACACACACACACACACACACACACGCAAAACCCCCATACACATGAAATATAAATGCATTACAAAAGAACAAGGTTGGGGGGCTGGGGAGATGGCTCAGTGGTTAAGAGCAGTGCCTGTTCTTCCAAAGGTCCTGAGTTCAATTCCCAGCAACCACGTGGTGGCTCACAACCATCTGGAATGAGGTCTGGTGCCCTCTTCTGGCCTGCAGATATACACACAGACAGAATATTGTATAAATAAATATTTTTTTTTTTTTTAAAAAAAGAAGGTACTGAGAGGCAAACACCCGCCTCACATGTGTGAAGCCAGGGTTCCATCCCGAGCACCAAAAAACACCCATGAAAATATATTAAACCAAAACAGTCACAAGAAACATGTGTTACGTAATATGAAGAGCCACATGACTCCCATGGGACACACTGGGGCTGTGTGCCCCTTCTCAAGGCCTACATTCCATTGCCACTGGAGAAGATAAAAAGCTCACGGTCAGTTCACAGACTTCCTCACAGCAGGCACTCAGTTCAGGACTCTCACCACTGAAAACAGGACAGTGGACATTTCCCAAGGTCATTAAAAACAAAGACATTCCTCATATTCTTTTTGCTTGCTTGTTTAAACAGAATGCTGACACAGGGCTTCCCACTCCCTGGGTGGCTGAAGGGTGCTAGGGAAATGTTTTACCTGTCCTGAATCCAGGGAATCAAAAACACAAGGCATGGGTGGTGGCGTACACCTTTAATTCCAGCACTAGGGAAGCAGAGGCTGGCGGATCTCTGTGAGTTCAAGACCAGTCTGGTCTACAAAGTGAGTTCTAGGACAGCCAGGGCTACTCAAAGAGACCTTACCTAAAAACAAAAAAAAAAAAAACAAAACAAAACAAAAAAAAAATGGGAGAGGGGGGATTAGGAGAATGGTGTGCTCAGCATATCACTAGCCTACCTAGAGAAAAAGGAAAACAAACAAGCAAAAACCCCAGGCAGTGGTGGTGCACACTTTTAAACCCAACACTTGGAAGGCAGAGACGGGCGGATCTCTGTGAGTTCGAGGCTGGTCTAATTTTCAAAGCAAGTTTCAGGACAGCCAGAGCTACACAGTAAAACCCTGTCTTAAAAAACAAAACAAACAAGCATTAAAAAAAAAAAAAGTTTTCTTTGAGGGAATGGATTGTTTGATTTTGAGACAGGGTCTCTCTCTATGTAACCCTGGTTGTCCTGGAACTCACTCTATAGACAAGGCCTGCCTCAAAACAGTGTAGAAAAAAACATGAATTAACTTGGTGCCAGTGAACAATACACTTGAACATGGTAAAGGAGGGCTGGGGAAGCCACTCAGTGGTGGAGCACAAGTCCAGTGTGAGCGAGACCCTGAGGTCCATTCCTGCCATGGTTCTTGCTTTTTTTTTTTTTTTTTTTTTTTTT